CGCACACGGCATCTATGTAAAGCAGAATTTCTTTATTTTTTCTATTTCACTTTTAAATTTTAGATCATGTTTACATAGATTAAAGTAGATTGTAATTGTAACAATAGATTGTAATAATATCATTATTTTATCTGATAGATTGACCGTGTCTAAATAAAAAATAAAGTTCAAGTTCAAAGTTCAATTCCCGATGACTGGAAAACAGCAAATGTGATTCCCACTTTACAAGAAAGGAGCCAAAGACAAAGTAGAAAACTACAGACCTGTTTCCCTAACCTCAATTGCAAGTAAAATCTGCGAGAAGATTGTCAGGAAGTCGATTGTAAACTTCTGGAGAGATCATCAAGTCTTCATAGGCGAGCAGTTTGGTTTTATTAAAAAGCGTTCTTGTCTTTCGCAACTGTTCGATATCCATTCATGGGCCAAAACAAGAAATGACTCACACAAAGTAGATGTAATTCTACTAGATTTTACAAAAGTATTCGACTCTGTTCCTCATCAGCGTGTCCTGGCGAAGTTGAAGGGATATGGAATTGGTGGAAACCTTCTTAAGTGGCTAAGCCACTTTATCGTTGGTAGAAAACAGAGTCTCATTCCGTGGGTACTTTTCTCCTTGGACGATAGTCACTTCTGGTGTTCCCCAAGGTAGTGTACTTGGGCCAGTCCTTTTCCCTTCAACACTCCTCTCAGATTACACCTTAACTCCAATGCCACAATCCAGCAACCAATGTAACTGCCGAACAAAGGAAGAATGCCCCCTTCAAGGAAAATGCCTGGAAACGAACGCAGTCTACCAGGTAACCATAACAACCGGTACAGCAACAGAATCATACGTAGGACTTTCAACAAACTTCAAAGAACGTTACAGAAATCTTAGAACATCCTTCCAACACACCAACAAAAGAAACACTACTGAGCTGTCAAAGCATGTATGGAAATTGAAGGACGCCAAGACCCCCTTCAGCACTAAGTGGAAGATAATCAAAAATGCAACCCTTACAGCAATATTACAAAGAAACGTAATTTGTGCATTTATGAGAAATTTTTCATAATCTGTAGAAAAGATCTATGTACCCTAAACAAACGAAATGAATTAGCGACCTCATGCCCCCACAGGAATTGATACGTGCTGCAAAACTTTCATGTAGCGTGACATAATGGTGAACGCGATACCAACCGTGTTAAACCGCGCGCGCCCGCCACCATTTAAATTCAAATCAAAGCCCCCAGCATTTGAATATAATGGTCATTCGTTGATGTTGCCTGATGAGTGTGGCCAACCTGTGGCCGTACGAAACAGGACTGTAGCAATAAAACGATAAATCACTCCTGACGTCTTGAACTGGTTTCAAAAACAAACTTTCTCCGATCATAAC